AGACTTGGGAATCGACTAGCTAAAAATGCTATCTTTAAATTCAAATGTAATGCAATTACTGCATTTGATATATTACCTCAAAAGCAACAAGATATTAGTGTTCCACAATCAAATTTTATTCATAAGCCAGCAGGAATATTTCTCAGCTTACAAAAGCAAGATAGATCAAAGAGTAAAGACTTTAATGTTTTTTATCTTTGATCACTTCAATCTTGAACTAATATTTCTTGAAATTAATGGTAAACAGTTCCCAGATATGCCAATAAAATGGAAGATGGCAATTATGCAGACATGTACAATAGGTTCTTAGAAGCATGTAAAGAAAAAATGTATTCAATCGATTAAGAAGCATTTACAAATATATATCCCTTCTTCATATAGATCTTTCTAAACATCCTTCAGAAACATAGGGGAACATCACATTTCTTTGTATTTTTTATTAAATGAAAACTTCAAAAAACACCACATACTTTTACACAAAGTTTTATAGTAATTAATAAGAGGAGCTTCATTAAATATTGAAAAAGATGCCTATCATTAAATTAAAATTTAACTACCAAATAACAACAAATAAAATATAAAACTACATTGAGGTTGTGTGTTATTGAAAGCGTTAGGTTTACTTCATGCCAATGTCATGAAGAGTATCCGTCTAATAATTACTTAAACAAAATAGGTTCAGTATCCAGGACAGGAGCTGGAGTATCAATTCGTATAGGTCTACCTAAAAGAGGTAATCGTGACTTAAATTTAACTTAAACTCAAATCGAATAAATTAGATGGAAAGCCTAGAGATAATAAACTTTAAAGGAATCAACTTGTAAAGCAAGGAGGAATTATATTTACTTTACCAGCAATATTAGCTGGCATAGGAGCAGCTTCTTCAGTTACTGGAGCGCATGCTGGAATTGGTAAAGCTGTCAATGATAAAAAGCATGATAATAATAATAATATCGCTGGAAGCAGAGACTATAGGTCAGCATAAAGAAGAGAAAGTAATGATACAAATACTAATAACATAATAATAGAACCTAACCTAACCTAATAATAGGCGTCAGAACAGCAAGATGCCAGGGCCATCCACAAAGGGCATGATGCTTCTTTTGAAACGCCCTTAGATGGGAATGGCCAAAGCACTCAGTCCGGACGGATGCGGTGGACTGCAAAGGGCTTAGGCGTGAATAATTAGATCTTTACCACTCCTCAGAGCCCGATCGTAGGGGTTATATGGCCAAACTCCACTCGAGTTGAAGCGCAAGATATCCAACATTGAGCCATTTCTCGAAACATCTCCGAGACCAGGTCAGGTACCTCCTTCGGTCCCAGAGTAAGGAAGACAATGCGGTTCCAAGAACACCAGATGCCGAATCAGTTACTATCGCTACTACTGATTCAGCTCCATCTGATGAAGCAATTCCACCTGATGACACCTGCAGCTGAAATAACATCCTCGGTACGCCAGGAACAATTTCTTGCTGCTCTATATGCTGTGAAACAGTCAACCCTAGATGACAGAAAAAAATCAATTCATAGGAAAGTGCACATAACACAGCACCATCTCGTGGAGATGGACTCCATCTTGTCATCATACTTGCGTGCTGGCGGTGACCTTTGGGATATTAACTCTGCCGTTTATGCAGTAACCCAGGTGCTGATCCCTTCCGGAGACCCATCGCGGGTAGAAGGTAATAAACACTTAAATCGTGTCAAACAACTGGACGTAAAATTGAAGCTACCCGCCAGAAATTGTCAAGGGTGCAGGAAGTGATGAATAACACCCGTATAGGCGTCAAACCAAGATCTTCAGTTATGGAAGTTTTCACAGCCATGTTAAGGCGTCTGCATCACTCTTTAAGCCTGTCCAAACTAACGAATGTTAAATATCACTATATAGACGGGCTTCGCACTCTATCCCTAGCGAGGAAGCGACTGCAGGTAAGGATTCAGCGCGTGCAAGAAAATAGCACCATTTTCTAGAATCCCTCTGCCTTTTTAAGAGTGAAAAGGCACTCACGCAATGACCCACTTCCACCTGTGGCAGATGTCCAGTCCTTCTGGCAAGACTTGTATGAGAAGGTGGAACCATTTAATGCAAGTGCATCATGGATGGAACGGTTCAATAGCTTCTGTGACATCCATCTAAAAGAAGCTGCTGATCCATCTCGCCCTTCGATTACACCTGAATGTGTACTCCGCAGGTGCAGTTAAGGACAGGGGTGGCAAGGCTGTTGAGGGCAGAAATCTTGTTTTTGCCGGACAGCTCGGTCTTGAGTACGAGGCGGACTCTGCGTTTGTCAGTCGTCAGTCTCTGCTTCGTGTGGTTGGCAGCCACAGAAGAGTTCTCTTCCACAACGAGGTATTCATAAGTGTCAGGGGCCGTGAGCTCTCGGAGTCATTCGTCGTTGATGGTGCTGATACCTCCCACATATATAGTAATGGACCTAATATTAAAGAAAGATATTGGCTAAATAGGCAGTTACCTGGCTGGGAAGTAAACTGCCCCCAACCAAGGTGCACAGATAGAGTAAGAGAAGTTATTTGGTGCCGAAATTGTCTGAAACTACCCAAGGGCAACAGAAAATGCCCAACCTTTGGACCCAGAAGCGCAGGACTTAGAGATGAGAGCCCGAATTATTAGAGATAGCCTGCAGGTATGGGGCAAGGCTAAAGGAAGTTAAAAAGAGAAGGGACAGCGAAGGATCCTATCCTAGAGATTTGTCAGGCAGCCTGCGTCGTCAGGGGATTGAGGCCACAAGTCTGACTTACAAACCCTATCCAGAGAGTTTAAAGTTAAAAAGAGAAGGGACAGCGAAGGATCCTATCCTAGAGATTTGTCAGGCAGCCTGCGTCGTCAGGGGGTTGAGGCCACAAGTCTGACTTACAAACCCTATCCAGAGAGTTTCTGCCGTCAGGTGCTACGGCTGTAGAGGTAAATAGTAGAGGTAGTACTTAATGCCTCAGAAGCAATCCCGGCTTAAGTCCCGGACTTAAGCCGGAATTAGGGGAAGGGAAGGCCACAATTAAACAATTGACCAGCCTCACAGCTGAAATGCATGGTAGACATAAGCCTAGAACGGAATGAATCAATAATCGTTCGAATAGCAACCATGAAAATAATTGGAATGAACATTTTAAATGCATTTTCATAGGATAAAATTTGAAAGACGCGGCAGTTGCAAGCACGCAACGGAAAATCGCCGTAGGATGCCCAAGGATGCTGCATACAGAGAGGGTTTTAGCAAGAAGCCAGCCTTGCTCATCCACTTTTTTGAGTGCTTGTACTTAAATTGCAATTGCTCCGATTCCGTTGACGAAAATTTGATAACAGGCGATGGAAAGAGGATTAACAGAGCTTTCAATTCCCGTTTCGAACACGAAAAAAGGTTCATTTGTTCAAAAGTTATTGCCGATCAAAATTGGTGCGGTTTTTTTTGGGGCCACCCTGTATATGCGAGGGGTGTGGCAATAAAGTTCCAGGACTGATTTTTTTGCGAGTCTGTCAATATCGCAAAATTATTTCCATTCCATGGACTAATAGATTAAACTGTTGGGCAGGGTAGTGTCAGTCCTCATTTATATTTATTTATTTATGAGATATATCATGTGTATGCAATGAAAAATGTTTTATTGGATAAGATGACATCACAGGGAGAGAATCACTTTTTCCCCTTTCCAAGGGCTTCATTGAAAAGTTTAAAGGAAAATAAAAAGTCGATTCCAGGAATCTCAATCCAAGTTTTCTTCTTCAAAGTAATATTGACAGGGGAAGCCTCCCCCTACAGGTCATCCATGAGACATCCCATTTGGACCCTAGGTGAGACAAAATGACATCCCATGGATGTCATCGTGCAAAATGACATCCATGGGATGTGGAAATTCCTGGAACATCCAGTGGACATCCCGTAAGGTAAGGAATGTTATGGGACACATACATATCCCACAACGGACATCCAATGGACATACGAGGGATTTGGTGCATAAGACGAGAGTATTTCTTACCTTATGGGATGTTCTCTGGATGTTCCAGGGATTTCCATATTCCAAGACGATTCCATAATGACATCCATGGATGTCATTCTGTCGCATGTAGGATCCAAATGGTATGTCCCGGGGATAATTCCTAGCTATTTGAGCCCTTACACGGATGAATTTAGGAAAATGTAGATGTTTAATTTTTGCAATTTTTGAAAGACTGAACTTGGCAATTGAGTGACATTGTATGAATGATTGCCAGTGGTGGACGCGACCGGGAAAATGCCGTCGGGAATCCTCACGGGGAACATCTGGGCGTTGGGGAACTACGAGGAATGCATCGGGACCCGGGCGAGGCTCAACGAGACCCTCTACGCGGACGTGGAACGGCTGGACTTCGCGGGAAAGTACTGCGTCGTCACCTTCATGGCCGTGTAAGGGCAAAAGGGGCAATCAGGTTCACAAGGCCTAAAAAAGAAACCTTGGGGTTGGGCTTACTTTATCATTAAACATTATAAATCAAACAATGAAATGTAATCAGAATACATTTTTGTGAGAAAGGGAGATGAATAGAGAAAAATAAGGATGAGGAAATCCACTTGGACTAGGTGGCTCTGTTCCCATGCGTCGCGTCTACGACGACGACGGAGGACACAAAAGATAACAACTCAGAGGAGAGCTCGTCGAGTACAGACTCGTATTATCCAATATCACTAGAAGGAATTCGTTGGGTCCTCAAATTGTATTCATTGCGTGTTTCATTCATAGCACTCGAGACAACGGGCTTCCAGTACTACGACGTGTTGCATTAAATTTAGCGTCATTATCAAACTGGAAACGTGGTAATGGTGGCTATTTGCCAACCCTGAAGGAAGGCGTAGGACATCTCGTAAGAATGATGCCATTATATTGTCCACGGTTTGCATGCAGAGGAATGAAGAAATTGTGATCGTATCCAATGCGCGCGTATGGCCGACTGGTGGCTATGGAAAAAAACCTTCCTGGAACATTGAACCTTTACATGAAACATGAGGTGCAGCTGACAGTTGCACCCAAATGCTACAAGCAAGAAACTTTGAGTGGTCTCATTATGGCAATATAGCTTAAAGAAATAAAAATAAAAATAAAGTTTAAAAAATCTTAATTTACTAATACTTGAAGTTCTGGAGTATAAAGTATCAATCTTGAAGCATGGAATGCAACAGAAATTTGAAGTTCATATTCCATCTCCCAACATGACTCAGAGCGACAATTTGCAACGGAAAATTCATTTTAAAAAAAGCACAATGTGCGTCCGGTCCACCACTAGAAACCAACAGCTAGGAAACGCTCAATTTCCATCAGACCCCCAGAAGGCAAGGCGGTACGAAGCGACCAACTGGTGAATGGCCTGGCATCACTCGGCATCTATGGAGTGCCGTTCCTCGCGGAAGGGATCTGCCTTCCGTCGTCCTGTTCCGATGCAGACGTTCAGGTTTTTACATTATTTTGCATTATTTTACATCACTTTGGGCATTAGTATTACATTATTTTAACCACATCATTTACTATCCGATCTTATAGAATTCTCTGTCGGCCAACTTCGAAGGAACGATTCAGGCGGGGATAGTGGGTTGTCAGGACGATAGCGTCCCACCTCTTACCACTTCGGGGATCATCTTCGTGTGAGTGGTTGCAGTGATCAAAGGTCGTGGATACCCGTGTGGATCCACTGCAAATCTGTTCCCATTTTCACGCAGTGTGGTGCTGTCTCTGTGTGGCGTTTACTTCCTAATCGGCACGATCTGGGATCTTAGGCTTCGACATACCAAGAAGAAACCTGGTTCCACATTATTTCCTTCCGTTCGTATGAACATGAAGACTCTTTAAATATTTTTCTAATTAATTCTTCAAATTTTTTTCCAGAGACATTCACGGACAGATTACTCGTGGCGGGATCCTTCTACAGCAACGGGGAGAAGCTTCTCTCGACCAAACAAGGCTCTGATGTCATCGGCAGCCTTCACGGAATAAGGTATTTTTTACTTTCACCTCTAAACAATTCGGAGATCGATGAAAATCAATATGTTCATAGGTTCGTGACAATGACGTGGGTCCTCCTAGGGCACACATACTCCATACTGACTGCGGGTGCTCCTATCATCAATCCGATGGTGTTCGATGAAGTAATTCATGTCCTGTTTATTGTCCAGGAAATATGAGAAACTTTTGTGCATTTCGTCTCTTTTTCTGCCTAGATGACGAAGGGTTTTTTTTTCAATGCGATAATGAATGCTACGCCGTCGGTGGACACGTTCTTCTTCATGAGTGGACTCCTCGTCTCCTATCTCCTCCTCAAGGAACTCCAAAGGAACAAAGGGAAATTCAACATCATCAAGTTCTATATTCATCGATACATCAGGTAGATCACATTTACCTACATATTTACTGATGGGTGTTAGATTACGGATGGGTGTTAGTGGAGGGATGAACAGGGTAGAAAGGCGTTGGGGACCGAGTTTCCTATGCAGGGAACGTAAAATACGGAAAAATAGATGCTGAATCTCTAAGGATTGAGACACTCAAGTAGCTTGCGACACTTCCATTTCAGGCTGTATTTCAAACTGAATTGTTCTAAGCCATTTTTTACATTTTAATATTTCAGTCTTTTTCCCCTCATGTGTGATATTATACTGGAGAGACTGGGATTACAGGCTCACGCCGATCTACGCGATGGTGCTTTGGTTCTCCGTCGATCTCTTCCCATACACGTTCTCGGGTCCTTTCCAAAAAATCGTCTCGGACGCCTTTACCGACCCCTGCCGGGACCAATGGTGGAGGAACCTCCTCTACGTCAACAACATGGTCGAGGAGAACGAAGGCATGGTCAGCACGCTCTTATCCTTCTTGTAGCGTGTAAATTAGCGTTCGGACGCCTTTGTAGTAGTATTGTGTAATGCATGGTTGGTGTGAGGAACACATGGTGGGAAACCTAGGTAACGCGGCTGTCGACAGGGGCATTCTGCCGGTTGCAAATTGACTGATACATTTCGACCTCAAAATTCAGTCATTTCAACATGAACATCACTCTGAAAAGATGGAAACACATATTTCAATGATGTAACAAAGGACTTCAAAATGCTGGAGAATCATACACAGAGCTTATACTATCATAACTGCCGACCCCATCTTAAACCAAATCTCACTGCCCGATTTATAAGAGCAGAAAACCCCTTTTGGTTTTAATGGCATATGAAATACAATGAAATAAATATATAGAGCAGCTCAATTCTGTTATACATGCTCTGCCAAACTCGTATACGCTAAAGAATAATCTCTTATAGTGCATGGGACACGCGTGGTACATGGCCAACGACTTCCAGATGTACATCATCTCCCCGTTGATCATCCTCCCTCTCTTCTTCTTCCCAGCCGTTGGTTAGTACTCTTCACAGTCTTCAAAGTTCCTCAGGGAAACATAAAAACGAAAAATACATCAGAAGCGAAATTCTCCCCAAAGGCATGGGGTTTGCTGGTCTCCTTCTCGCCGGGTCTATCACAGTCCCAGCCGTCGTCCTCATCGCTAACGAAATCGGAGGGACATACACTTACCAAGATAGAATCAAGTGAGCACCTCCTCTATGATCCAAGTATAAATTGAACTTGGATTTGCTACTATGGCTACTATGATTTACTGCTGTCTTCGATGAATATTCTAAAGAAACAATTGATCGCTGAAATACATCCACACCTTTCTCTTCCTGCTTCATTCCAGACCCGATGACGATGGAATGTACTGGAAATACTACGTGAAACCATGGACACGATTCGGACCGTACCTCATCGGCCTCGTTCTTGGATATATCTTGCATCGAATCAAGGGGAAAATTATCAAACTTTCGAAGGTAAAAATCAGGCACCTTCCGGTGGTTTATCACATAAGTTCTTAGCTTGATTTCAGTTAGCTCACATAAACCATTTCTATTAATTAGGTTGTGGTGCTCACTGGCTGGTGCGCAGCGATCGTGACTAACATGGCAGTCATCTATGGTCTGGAATACTATATGAAACCGTTGTCACCGGCGATGCCGAGAGCGGCTCAGGTCATCTACGTCGCGGTACATAGGGTCGCCTGGTCCGTCGGGTTGGCGTGGGTCGTTTTTGCCTGCCACATAGGGGCTGGAGGTAAGAATCTGCGATTTGATCCAGTTTGATATTTTTTAAAATCTCATGTGATAGCGGAGGAAAGATTCTGAGCTTTTAATAGCTGCTGGTATCAAGGATCGCACGTGGGTAATAAAGAGAAAAAGAAAACCAAGGAAATATGTATCTTTGGATTGAGCATAACACGGAAATGAATCAGGTGAAAATATCCAAAGCAGAAGATGATTTTCAATCAAGATTGCTTAAAAAACGAAATCGAATTTTATCTGACTCCCTTTCCTTTAAATCCGGTGAATGAAAATGTTACGGATGTATTTATTGAATCAAATATATTATTTCTGTTCTGTACGATACCTTTGCAAAGGTAAAAATAGAATATGTATTCTACAAAAAATTGATTTAATTTTTCATTTCTTCATTTAATCTCTTGGATTCTTAAAGGTCCAGTAAATACTCTGCTCAGCTGGAAAGCCTTCGTACCTCTCGGCCGACTCACCTATAGCGCATACCTCGTCCACGTTCTGGTTGCGGCCTGGTACCAGTTCGGGATAGATTCTTCTGTCTACGTCGACCATGAGACTCAGGTTCGGGAAGGATTTCGTACAATTCAAGTTTCTGGCGTCAGTGTTTGATCCAAGATGCATTTTCAGGTGATCGTATTCTTGTCCACACTGATCCTGACTCACTTCGTGGCTGTCATCTTCTCATTGACCTTTGAGATACCTGTTCTGGGACTCGAGAAGCTCTTTTGTGGACTCATCTTTGGAGAGGGTGAGTTTTTTTATTTTCACTTTTGACTTTTGGAACGATATTGTTGCCAAAAGAGGGTAGCTTTTTTTTTTAAGGACCCAAGCCAGGCCATAACAATTTCCCGGTAGCTCTTAGACCCCACAGCATCAAGGAAGGGGAAAAAGGAAAAGATTTTTCAAAGGGACAGCTAGAAGTGGTCGACCTAAATCTTGCTTCTCCAGAGACTGGCATTCTGAAAGGAGACATAATAGTGCACGATGTCTCTTGGGAAAAGCCGAAGTACAGCGGCTTGGACAACCCTGCATTCATCCCCGACACGAAACAGAAACTCGGCCACGACGAATTATTGGACGGCCAAAGTCAGCACAAATCTCTCTCATCTTTCTCTCACTCCACCCCAAGAGACTCCTCAGAGGAAACCCGAGAGGCAAATGGAGAATCAACTTCCGAAGGAGAGCATTCAGACCAAGGAAACAAGTCATCCTCTCCTCACTCCAGCCCCAGAGGATCCTCAGACGAGACCATGGAAGTTAATGACCAACGAACCTCCCAGTTGTCACAGGATGAAGACGAAATCAAGCCAGAGCCGGCAACGGAGAGGTTCTGATGGGAGGTTGACCAAGCCAAAAAAAAAATTGTATTTCTCGATATAATAAACATACGTATTAAATCGAAAAATTACTTAAATATGTTTATTTCGATTATCCCTTTTCGCATTCCTACGGCAAACGGAATCGTCATGGAGAAGCATTATTCTTTTCTGAATTATTTACACCGCCTGTTTAGAAAGACTACCTAAGGTCACGTCCTTCATCTGTAGCACTCGAGACATTTCATAATCGAAGCTTCCTGACAACTCCTGATAAGGATTATACCAAAGTCCATACAGGAAAAAGAGAAATACAGTACTTCCTTCGCTGGACTTTCTATCGTTAGGAGGAGTGCTACGTGCGTTATATGGGAGACACTGGGACAGCTTCCCTGTTGTGCTTCAGTAATCATAAGGGCAAGATGCGCAGAAAGGTTCAAAACCGAATTGTAGTCCAACATCACTGTAAACTCACTCAGTACCTCATCACCCTTAAAGGTTGATTTTGGGTGTCATGCACCAGATCCGTTTAACTTTAAACTGATTCGTTTTCATAATGGGCGTAAGGGAATAAGATGATCTCAGTTAAACTGATTTCCATTGAGGACCATTGTGAGATCAGATTAGTTTAGCTTAAACAGATTCGGTGCATGTCACCCATTGTTTCTGAAAGTTCAAAGGTATGGAATGAAATGAACCGCAGACTGCGCATTGCCCTACACTCTTAGAAAATTCCGAGCGTTTGGGGAGTAAAAAGTGAACACACCGTGAACTTTTCGAATTTACTCTCTTATTACTCACCAAATGCTCCCTCATCGCTCGCATTGAAGTGAACACCTTGAAGTTCTTCGCCGGGCCACTAGATGGAGATAAGGGTCTCGCTTTTCGCACAGTACACAAAAGTTCCCTTCCCTCTTTCCCTGGAATCGTCCGTCGCAGGATTGTTTAGTACCTCCCCATATGTCTCGCCTTGTATTGCCTTGTATGTCTTATAGGAATCAATAAACACGAACACTTCATCATTTGTTATCCACATATTCAAGACGTATTCATAGAGTCCATGCCATAAACAAGCTCATATTCCTATTGAGAACCCCCTTGGAATGCGGATGATTTTATCCGCATAGGAGATCTAGAATGTGTAGAGAGTGCCCGTGAACTTCAATCCCTTATACCTCAATAAATGAGATGATAAGGACTGATATCCCGGACTACTCCTCGGAACCAATAAGAGGTGATCCACCCTTTGACGTGTGATGTAATCAGTACAGTCAGATGTAGGTCAACGCATGTACGAGAGATAGGGACTCACAAGATATAATGAATTTTTCGTATTTGCACGACATCCCTATCACTTTCTGATGGAAGCGTTTTTACTCACGGAGGAAGAGCGCAATTTTACTCCTTCACGATGGAGTAAATTTGTTCATTTCCCAGAGTGAAAGGGGGGTGAAACTGGAGTTAGCTATTTTACTCTCTTTTTTGAGAGAAATCGCTCCCCTTTTTCTAAGAGTGTAGGATCGTTTCGTAAGGGAATAATACACACAATTTAATATGTTCCAACGGATTTTTCTACTATCGAGTCCCACAATGAACAAAATGGATTGTTGTTCCTGAACATGTGAATCTTAAGTTATTCATACATTCAGCACAGCTGGTAGTCGTCAATGCAGATTTTTATGGAAATCGTGCATGTTCCCATACCACTATACGTTATTATTGTCGCGCAATATTCTCAGTTATTTCATCACTGACGAGGCAACAATATTGTTTTGTTTCCCCAATATGTTCCGTTTCTTCACGGACGGGAAGAGAAGAGGGGGCAAAACCCGGCTCTGTCAATCGATAATCGATAATCAATTCCCATCCGATCTGATTGACAATGGTTTCAATGAGTTCTTTAAAGTTCATGGATTTCTCGCTTTCTCTCCTGGATCCACCTTTAAGAGAGAAATTTAGCAGAAACATATTTCATTTTTTATATTTTTACTTTTTTTGGCTTCCTGTATATGTGAACTATCATATGCAAAGGCCATTTTCTTATAATCGGTCTCATATTGGGTAAAAATGAAAAGTTCTGAAAGAGAACTTACGACGAACATCGTCGATAGTCTAGTTAATGCTTATTTCCTCAGTTTCAAGCTTTTAGCAGTGTCCACATATGCCCCCTATGCCTTTCTTCGCCTTCCTTCATTCTACTGATGTAAATTTTTGCTCGCCAGTGGAGGCTACGAGCTACACGAGCTACAATTCTCTCTGATGAAACATCAATGGGAGGCTTAGTTCCTGAGATTCGGCCAAACAATGTTTATCGGCTATGTGGAGGCGGTAAAGGTATGAAACGGTTGCCATAGCAGCATAACAGTCGAAAGGAACATTTCACTGCGGGGAAAACGTTTTAAACGAGGTTAACTAAATGGCTTCATCGACTTCAATGACTTCATATTTAACTATATTCTTGGAGGTACTATATGAGTAGCAGAAACGTCTGAAAATATTTCCTGAATCTTGCGTCGATGAAAAACAATGAATCGATATTCGAGGAATGAATAAGCGATGAAGAATGTATTCCCGGAAATGTTTCTAGATGGACGGGAGTTATCTGTGGCCACTGCTGCTCGCGGTGGGCTCCTTGCTGGTGAGCGACGACGAAGAAGGGGGGTCGACCTGGAGGTCGTCCTCGAGGATGCCCCGGTTCATGACGCTCCTGACGGGGGCGCCCAATGCCGTGGGCATCATCTTCGGCGTCCCGATCAGCATTCTCGTCCCGGTCATACGGAAGAGAGTTTTTGACAGTACGCGCATCGGCAGGGAGGGTAAGGTGATCGACGCGGAGCGGCCGTCGAGGGAGGTCAACGACTACGACGACCCCATCCACGTGAAGGAACTCGACAAGCTGGACGCCTACTTCGCCTACGTGCGACTGGAGTCGGACGGATGTCGACGCCGGATCCTCTGCGAGTTGGCCGCCGGCTACGACGACCTCTACCCCATCAGCGACATCTTCGTCCGACTCCTCCGACCGAAGGCGCCCATCGGGGACGACCCGAACAACCGCTTCTGGCGGTACGTCCACGCCACCAAGGCCGGATTCCACGGCGGGATCGACCAGTGCAGATCCGGCTTCGGCGAGTGCCCGCTCGCCGCCGAAGATGTCTTCGAGATGCACATGCTGAAAGTCCTTCAGTACGTCAGTCGGTGGCTCAGGTTAGAATTAATCGACAGGGATTGAACTTGAGAGTTTCTCATCCATTTAAATGCATGTTTGTGTGGTTTACGCTCTGGAATTTCTGGCCGAATAGGCATCGCCTACCTGGTTGTGCGGTGAACCATGCTACAATATAAACGCAAAGACGGAAGACGACCAACAAAACCCAAATAATATATTGAAAACCACACCGAATCACGCCAGATCACTTTGGATCACGCCCGGACACGAAAAAAAGAAGTTTCAGCCTATGTATGCATATGCTGCGAAGACATTACTATATCCAAGGAGCGGAAAGCAGCCCTTTTTTGTAAATTTCCCCTGACGTCGAGATCAGCGCTGTCCCTTGCCTTTTCGCTCATTACAGGAATCCTCGCTTTTGCTTTTCGAGCGGGGGAGACTTTTTCCTTGCGTTCTGTGAACGAATTTTTGTTGCATTTTGTCTTTATTGTTCTGAATTTACTTCCATTCTATGGTGCAGATATTTCAGCACTTTGTGGCACCATGTTAGTCAAAATATAAATTTCGTCTATGTTGGAGGACTGGACTTCGTGCGAAAAATCGCTATATTGTTTCATTTACTAAAGATGAAGGTAAAGTAAAGTAAACTTTAATGAATTTAAAATATGAATTATGTAGAAATAAATAAATACCGATTGAGAAGTGAGCGTTCTTGCAGTTCCTGAAGTTCGTGTGGTGCTATCTGAAAGCCATAATGTAAAAAAAGAAATGGGAAGTTTATCGCGCGATGCCATGGCGGTAAATACGCATGCAAACTATGCGATTGAAAGCCGGATAGGGGAGAACTAGGCGGGAGTCCATGAATTGCATGGGGAAATCCGGAGGAAAGAGAGGGGGGCCAACGTCTTCCCTGTCTCAGATGTCCAGACTGGGATGCACTGTGGCATCCGCACGTGGCGGTCGAGGCTCGCATCCATCGACTTATGCGAAAGGGACAAATTATGCATTCAAGCATGGCAGTGTCAAAAGTGTTTCAAGAGGTGAAAACCGGAAATTTCTTCCCTCCACTCCTCGCAATGCGTTTTTTTTCTCCTTCGAGGACAAGATAAGGGGTTTTACATCTTTATTTTTTGTCCATGGGCATTTCTTTGATGTGGTCCCTCTTCATTCACTGATCCATAGAAGGTCTTGATACCCAAAGGACATTTTCGGAAGTTCCTCGTCATCGTAGATAATTCGAGTCCGCGAAATAACTAGGAGTTTTGACTCGTCGCCCATGGAAAGGACCGTCGTGTTCTGCACACGTGTTGCACTTTTCTTGCCCGCTTCGCCGGTGAATTCCAGCAATAAATAGCACATTTGGCAGGAGATGCACATTTGAACGGAAAGACCAGAGAAATGTAGATCATCCTATCTGCTCGATCAACGATGAAAGTCTGGGCGCTGTAAGAGCGTATGAAGATCACCTTTCGAGAAGAATTGCTGCAAAACATCAATAAATATAGTGCTTTACTTGCGTTATTGTATAAGGGATGATGATACTTCATCATAATAAAATTGCAATCCGTTTTCGGTTTTGTTTCCCATCGTTACTTAGGAAAACATGTATACAAACCGACAAGCTTGCTCGTCGTTCCAGTTTTTCTGGCCATTTCGTACATGAGGAGAATACTCCTAGGCATTTTTTTTAATCCATCCCACTGAATTGTCATATATAGGGTGGTTAAAAAAAACGCTCTACCGTTTTCTATGGGAGGAACACAGTTTCATAAATGAACCAAAAAAATTACATAGGCTATGCGATCGATCTATGACAATTAAAATCTGTTGAGATGCTTGCCAGCGTTTTTTCAGCACCCTTGACTAAGTCGTGCACTGCACATTTAAAGGTGAATTAAAGGTGGCTACCGGTGG